AGTGAAGAAATTATGGAAGCATATTTTATTGTTTTTACTATTCAATTTGTTTTCTATTCCGAAATCAATTAATATAACGAATATTTTGATTTAATCGCCGAACTTTAATAGCATCAACCCCCCCCCAATAATCAAATCTCCTTGAAAAATCTTAGAAATTTTTGACAAAAAGCACAGGAGTTAATAAGCTTCAAACTTAGTAAACATAGTTGTGATATATACACTAACATCAGTGCATACAAGAAAAAAAAAACTTCCAGTTTATTGTATTTCTTGACATTTTAAGTTGTCCAGAGTAAAAATATTGAGGGGGTCATTTTTGACTGATCTCCATACTTTCCTTTTGTTATAAATAACAGAGCTGGGGAAAGTAAAAGTAAGTTTATTTTTGAAAAAGTTTCACCTTTATCCCAAAACAAAAGTTACATTATTAAAGAGTTCAAATAATTTTACATATCAGAAAAATGCACGAGTGAAACCCCCAGCTGAATCCAATGGGTTACTCTCATGTTTCATCTTCGTTCTGTATTATTTTTCATCTGAGATGATTTATAAACTGCATCTACAGTATTACTCATGAAAACTACACATTTAAATTGTCAGCATGTTAAAGTGTAAAGGTTTATTCAGTTATTTATCTTCATAAAAACATTTCACTTAATATAAACTATAAAAAACAGTTTTATAATGATATTAAGAAAAAAATTTCTTACTGTTATATTAAAATTAATTTTGTACTTTTAGTATACTTAAAATATTACACTACATTTAAAGCGATGGATTGTATGAAAATTGATAATTATATTACAATTAATTATTTGATATATTAAAAAAAAGCTAGTGACAATTACTTCAATTCGATATAATTATATTTTTATAGAAATTATCAATATTTAGTCAAACTTTGCTGCAAATAGATTACCATTTACATTATTTCTAGTTAATACAGTAAATATATGACGAAATTAACTATATTAATTAGGTTATTCTGAACACACAATTTTTTAAAACGATATCAGTAATAACTACATCCAAGTGTTTAAAGTCATCGAGTTCATTTGTGAAGTTTATTTAAGTTACGTGATAAGAAGAATCAGTTTTTATAAATTTATAATATTCGAGTTGCTTAAATAGGTCGATGTGTAATNAAAAACAGTTTTATAATGATATTAAGAAAAAAATTTCTTACTGTTATATTAAAATTAATTTTGTACTTTTAGTATACTTAAAATATTACACTACATTTAAAGCGATGGATTGTATGAAAATTGATAATTATATTACAATTAATTATTTGATATATTTAAAAAAAAGCTAGTGACAATTACTTCAATTCGATATAATTATATTTTTATAGAAATTATCAATATTTAGTCAAACTTTGCTGCAAATAGATTACCATTTACATTATTTCTAGTTAATACAGTAAATATATGACGAAATTAACTATATTAATTAGGTTATTCTGAACATACAATTTTTTAAAACGATATCAGTAATAACTACATCCAAGTGTTTAAAGTCATCGAGTTCATTTGTGAAGTTTATTTAAGTTACGTGATAAGAAGAATCAGTTTTTATAAATTTATAATATTCGAGTTGCTTAAATAGGTCGATGTGTAATTATAAAAGACTTATTTATATTAAAAAATCATTCTTTGTTTTCCGTATCATAAAAAGGCTGTTTTTTTTGCCAAATAAACCCTATAATATACGTAATTTTACTTTAAAAAATAAATAAAATATATAGCCGTTTCCTGCTTAAGATCATTGATTGGGCTACAATTTGATAAAAATTGTGCACCTATAAATTTTCACTGTCGTCGGTCTGTGTTTTCTTATTCTCGAGAGCAGTGATATATAGAGATGAGTATTATTGGCAGGACGGCCCTTTTAGTACACTATACTGTAACTTTCGATGCCAACCGGAAGTCACTTTATTTCAATTCAAATATTTTTCTCCCGAAATGTGTTAGATACATTACTACAATAAGTGCATTTCTAAAGGAAACACGATGTACAGGCGCAAGCCACTGCTAAATTGAGATGAAAATCATATGTGTTTACAGAGTTAAAATTATAGATAATTATACTACATAAAACATACTTTATTATAAAGAGATATATAATAATAAATATAAATTAAAATATTAAAATTTTATAAATTATGAAAACAATTATTTAATACATTTCAGTAATTTATAAGTCATCTACAGTGAATGTATGATTCTAAATTTTGGTGGAAATAATCAAAGCGCATTAGTTTTGAACATCACAAAAGAAAATTATTTACAAATAAGTTTATGAGAAGTAATCTAATTAAATAAAATATTTGTTATATTCACATTAATATTTTATTTCCTCTTATGTAAAGTTTCTTGTATGCAGAATATAAAACCGTAATAAGTTAAGGTTCGTGCTGTTGCTCCAATCAAACCTATGTAAAGTAAATTCAAAAATTCGTAAAATCGATTTATTTATTAATAATTTCAGAAGAAAAAATTAATTTTTCCAATTTAGTGAAAAAATAAACATGTTTAAAATGCCATAACGGCTCACCAGTGAAAAGAAATATCACATTCGTCAACGTAATTTATTATTTATAATTCGATAGTACTGATATATAATGATTATACCAAACATCTGGATTTTTTTTATCAGGCTGAAACTTGAAAAAGTAATAGAACAGAGTTTTACAAAGATGTTAGACCTATAAATTCTCATAAAATAGTAGGTTCCGATTTATTGGAATTATTACTTGTTATTCGCTTTTACAATTTTTAAATGAAACGAATCTCTACCATGAAAATTTTAAAATAAAAGTTATTTTTAACAATATTTGATACATATGTATTTTGTATTTGTTTATCAAACAGAAGATACTTTACCAAAGAAGTTTATTTGTGTGTGATAAACACAAATAAACTTCTTTGGTACAGTATCTTGTGTTTGATGTAGAACAAATACAAAATGTATTGCTGGACTTTTTAGTGAAGAATGTAATTTGATTTTACTTTTTACAATTAATTCTGCTAAAAATGTTAATAAAATTTTCAACATTCCTTGTTTTTTTAAAATGTTATCATTTTCTATCAGGTCTGAATGAGAGTTATTTAACGTATTTTAAAGTACAGCATGTCATATTTAAAACAGGTACCATACATACATCCATCACATCGTTACACCTTAACGGACAAGAACTAGTGGAAAGACCATTTCAGAGGAGTCAATAGTGTCATCCTACTACAGATCTGCGACCTAGGAAAAAGAAAGGTATTTATCAACCCGCGGCTCGGTTGTAAACTTTCTCTCTCTCGAACGGAATAGTATAATTAAGTCCGATAATATACCCGATATCTCTGTATGTTCTTTGTTTATTATTAAAATTGTTACTTGTTAGAAAATATGGAGTCCGAGTAAGTCACTTCCTCGTCTCTCTCCTCACCTCTACTCCGAATCCAATCGCTTACCCGCTACCGCTCGCGAATCTTTAGACTTAACGTCGCGATTTCCGAGTCCCCTAGAGACTCGGTGGTGTCATCCTGACAGGGCGCCAAAGAGGTGCCGACCCTATGGTCACAATATCTAGCGTGATGTGCAGCGTGGCAAAGCCTAATAATTGTTCCTGCAGTGAAAATAATTATTACAAAATTGGAAGCAGATGGTTTGTTACCAGTTCAGCCACCAAGTGAAAAGCCATGGATATGCTCTATAACTGCAACTGCCATTGCAATGTTTAAAAGAAATGTTCAATGACATCATCCTCATATGGTCAAGAGAGCTTTGAAGAAAGTAATGCATCAAAATGGTATCTTCTATGGGACTGTCTGGAAATTGCTAAGATTAGTCCGTTGTAGACTAATTAAACACTTTAAAAAATTTTTCCAATCAGATATTTCAAGCAGAAAGGATTTGCATAATGATTCTTTAGTGAAATTAATTAATGCAATATCTGGTTTTCAGATGTTATGTAGATGGATGACGTACGGAATGTAAACATGAAAACGTGCAGAATTTAGACTATAAAAAATTTTTAAGCTTTCACGGAAGCTTCTTTTCATCACTGAAAAGAAAAGTCGTAGTATGGATCTGCTTTCTTGTGATAGAGTGTTATTGTTTGATTTCTCTGACGAAATTTTTATCATCACAAGTTAGAGATGTGCTACAATGTTACAAACTGTATTATTTATAGTTTTGATGCTGTCAAAATCGTGTAAGATCGACAGCTTCCCATGTTGTTTTACTATAAAACAACTGTCATTGTCATTATTTTCAGGGGACCGAGATATAGTCTGTCACATTCAGCGTGANAACGCTGCATTCGAATACGCACGTGTTTTTATATAATATACATGTCAAAATTCAACCCCACTGAAGGAAGATGGTTAGGTTTAAGGCTTACGGTAAAGAACTCTGCTTCTATTTATACTATTTTAGATGCCGGGTTTTTGCGTTTTTGATTGCGTTTTAATAGGGAACGTCAAGAGAATGTACACTAAGAAGAAATTTTTCGAAAAATTCCCTTTCCCACGGGGGAAGTGTTATAAATTTATAATAGATACATTTTGAGCCACAACAACGCGTGGCGGGGGTCTGCTGGTATTACAATAATTTACTCATATTACTCAACAACCTATTGTAATTCATCATTAAGTTTTTAATTACTTTCCGGATATTTAAAAACATTATTTTTACATTCACTCCAAATAAAAATTTTTGTGCTACTTTCACACAAAAATAATCAAAAATTCAATTTATTCACTGACTTTCATTGAAAACGTTGAAATTTTAAATACCAAAAGGAAGGTGTATAAAATTTCGTAAGTAAGATAATACATATTTAAAATACTCATAACAAATTTATTTTTATTGTTGCTTATAAGAATGATGCAAATTATTACTGAAATTTACATTCATTATTTGATTGATGTTTTCAATTAAAATTATTTTCATAACTTTTCTAAAAAAAAGTCGTTATAAAATATTCCTATAAACGCATTTTTTCTCGTTTGCATATTTTTAATATTTACTACTTTTCTGTAAATAACCCATTCTTAATTTTTCTAGTAACATTATCTAAACAAATATACTGATTACATTAAACTAACGTTTAACACACAAATTTAACAGTAGGAATCACAAATACATTTAAGTTTTAACAGTTTTTACTATAGATTTTAACAATTTTATATCCTAAATGTCATTCAGAAACTGCATTTAAAACAGATGATTCCGAATACAAGATAATATAAAAACAGCACGAGATCCACAAAAGGTTAATACGTATCGAGAAAAATCCAGTATATTATAATCTCGTTCTTTCCATACATTCTTGAATATAATATTTATTTTCAGCAATTTTAAATAGCTCATTCATCGAAGTAACTCCCGAGTTTTTTACCAAGTTATAAAAAGTACCATTCACATTCTTCAGTAATTTATATGGCCTGTCAAATTCTTGAAGTTTTCCATTATCTAGAACCTACAAGTTTCAAAAGTGTAATTAAAAACAAATTTTTATTATTTATTATAAACAGAAGAAACTTACCAGTACTCTGTCCGAATCGATAATTGTATGTAACCTGTGGGCTATTGTCAACACGGTACACGATTTGAATTTTTCTCGAATTATTTTCTGTATGCAGGAATCAGTTCTAGATATAAAATAGATAATAATACGTTACTAATCTATATGTCTTTATATCTATATCTATATATATATTAAAATGGACGTGTGTGTCCCTATATTTTACTTTTTAGCCAAAACTACACATCGCACATGAATAGTGTTTGTATGTGGTGGTAGCCCCAAGTCTCCATTCGTGCACTATGGTAATTGCGTCTCGATAGCTATAAAGGTGCAGGAGATATGGGGCTGAAAGTGGTTTTCTATTTCGAATGTTATGTTTGAATTTGTTCGAATTGTTTCGATTATAGAACGATTGTAAACGTTCCAGATCGTTGAAAATAGTTCGTTTGACTGGACGTGAACAGGAGACGTTCAGAAATAGAATCGGGACCAGGTCTCTAACTAGTCTGGATACGGGGGACCTAATTTTTGCATTCTGTGAAAACAGGTAAGATTGGCTATAATGTAATTATCTTCATCTTCACTATCGTTACTTTTTGCACAGCGAAGCGGGTCCTTGCAGCTAGATTCTAGATTACTTAGAAAAACAGTCTTTTATATATTACATACTATTATTACATACAAATAATAACCCAGCGAAGCGGGTCCTTGCAGCTAGTATAATATAAATGTCATAAAATATAATATTTTGTTTCGTAAGAAATTTATAACACATTATAACTTTACAAGTTGGAATGTCAATTATTACTTTTCAACTTGTAAAGTTACAATTGTAATAAGAAGAATCATCTATAGAAAGTTTTAACGTATTGTTTTCAAGTTCTATTTACGAATATTATTTAGCAACAGGCTACTGTTAATGATGGTAATGACGATGGATAATTTTTTTTAATTTTTTGAAAAAAATCTAAACTATTTTATGTACAAATCATTTTGCATAAAGAAGATAATTTTTATTTATAATTTCATATTGTAATAAAAAGAAACAAGTATTTATTATAAAATCAATGTACGGTAAAACCTGCCAAAACAGGCACCTGAATAAAACGGAAGAAGTTCTTCGGAACAGAACGATTTTGTGTTAAAAAATCTGTTTAAAACGAAAGCTGCGAAAAACCGAAAAAAATAATCAGTGCCGTGCGATTCCGGCGTACACAGCTTTTCGTGCATTGACTTTCTTAATAGTAAATATATTTATTACAAACCGAGTATCATCGAATTAATTTAACATTTTCAGCAGAATATTTTTAGGAATTTTTATAAAGTATTTTTTCACATATTAAAATTATTCTTTCATTAATTGTTTAGTCATAATTATTAATTGAAAAATAATTAGCCATAAGTTAACGTTATATAAAATTCAAATTAAATATTTTTTTGTTGTTAAAGCACTATAAAGTGCAATTAATCGAACGCTAGGCATCCTTTCATATTTTATTTGTTTATTTAGTTGATACGCGTTGTTTACACGTTTCGGGCCTTATGTCGCCTCTCTTCTGCCAACTAAAGGCCCGAAACGTGTAAACAACGCGTACCAACTAAATAACTAAATTTAAACTAAACTAAACCTAAACTAAACAACTAAATCTGCAATCGTAAACTCTTAAATATATTTTGCGTCATAATAAAAATATAACTTGACATACTTTATAAATAATTTATATTCAAATTACATCATTTGTATGACGAAGGGCGGCGTATGGGCAACGTGGGCCACCACCTATGCCTCGCGATCCGATGGGCCTTGCGCCTCGAAGGTTTATGCATTACTTAAAAGCCGCGAACGCGACGTAAAAGTTTTGCTCGTCATAAAACGATAAATAGTTTGTCAAATTTTTATTCATAAAAATGCAGTTTCAATTGCTTTTAATTTTATAAAACCCGTCTTCTTGCGCCACCAGAGGGCCTTTTAAACAATAGCTAGTCTGTTAGTGCTGGTCAGTAGTAGCCCAAATTCAATACGAACGTTTTTTTCTTGAAAATTTGATTACGATTTAAATACAGTATTTAATTTTAATATTACCGATATGTCATCGAAAAAAAAAACGTGTTGTATTATCATTGAAAGAAAAATTAAAGTATTTGTTTAAATTATCCGAATTTTTCCTTATCCGGACTACCTTCATCCCCAATTAGTCCGGATAATCGATGTTCTACTTTATATACTATCTGAGAGTTAATTGTATTTTCCAAAAATACAGTATGCACAACTGTATTTTTGGAATAGTTCTACTGATCATTCGGACACCTAAATCATTAAAATCTAAAGTAAAATTTTTTTTTAAATCTGAAAAGAAAGTACAAATGATATCTCAGGGCTTCGTTAAGGCAATTGTAACTAAATAATTTTTATAATTTGTTGTAATCTCACTTTTTATCTATATTTGATGTTGCTTCATCCATGACCAGGATTTCATTCTGGCGAAGAATCGTTCTGGCAAGACAAATTAACTGTCTTTCTCCTACGCTGAAATTTCGTCCTCCTTCTGTCAAATGTGTATCCAATCCTCCAGGCAACGTACTGATAACTTCCTTTAATTGCACCTTTAGTTGAAACATTTTAAAATAAAAAGATGGTGATAAAATTAAGCCATTAAAAAGAATTAAGCAGGTATATAAGAGAGAAAATGAAAACAATTGCGCGTGTTTCTAACCTCTTCTATAGCTTGCCACAGAATTTCATCTGAATATTCATTGAAAGGATCGATATTTCTTCGAAGTGGACCAGTAAACAACATTGGATCCTGAAAAATACACACGCTATTTTATTCGTTTTGTAATTTTTTATGAGATTGAATTATGATTACGACAGGGGTGAATGTTACATTTCTTTTCTTTTATTAATTATTTTAAAAGATGCGCGATGTGTATGCCTTCAGGAAAGTATCAGTATTGTATTTAACGCTTTTCACTTATGTTATTAATATATTCTCGGTAAGTTTGAAATTTCAGAAATTAAAATTCATTGCAAACAAATTAGTTAATTTATACATTTTTCACAAATTTTAGAATACACGTGAAGAGAATAATACCTTTTTAGCATTTTCAATATGAGAAAGACGCTACGCAGTATGCATATAGTTTGCATCGGGCTTATTGTTTTCGTGTATAACATATATTAATGTCACACATGCCACTTAACATAATGAATTTGAATTGCAAGAATGAATTGCACTGAATTTCAACCTATTACATCTAATTAGATTGATACGTCAAATTATCAATGTCAATTCAGTATGTCTTTGCAATTATACCGCTTATAAAATTTTTTGCGCTTCTTTATTGTATGGACCAATTTCAATTCTATTCCATTCAGCGAACGCGTTTACTTTTCGACAAGACGATTTTCTTGCTAAGATGTGTCAAGTTGTTCCTACCATTAACCTATAAAACAATTTAACCCGTTTGGATTTCACTTGTAACATATATCATTGCATTTTGTATTTTATCTTATTTAAAAATATTCAATTTTAATATAAGAAACCAAAGAAAGAACATTTTTAGAAAAGTATAATAAAAAGTTCTTAAATGAAAAGTATTTTCATCAAAATAATTATTATATACTTGAGGAATAATTGATATTTTACTGCGTAGATCCCGAAGACCAATATCTTTTGTATTAATTCCATCGATGGTTATTGTTCCTGTTGGCTCCGTCATGCGAAATAACGAAGCAATTATAGAACTTTTTCCAGCTCCCGTTCTCCCAACAATTCCAATCTGCAATTAATAAATATTAGAAATAATTTATGACAGTGATTTTCAGCAACACTGATTGGTTTTCGAGAATATTTTACCTTTTCTCCCGAATGAATACGAAACGTTAAATTTTTCAAAACAATATTTTTATCCTTGGAGTATTGTAAAGAAACGTTATCAAAATAAATTTCTCCTTTTTGTGGCCAATTTGCGGGTGGTTTTTTATCAGACGAACTTTCGTAAGATGCTTCTGATTTTAATTTGCTGTATTTCAGTATACGTTTTACAGAATTCATCTGGAAAATTCACTTCGAATGAAATAACACATTGCAAAACACTTATTCAAGTAACGGTACTTTCATCCAGAGTTAAAATTAATGTGTCGAATTTTATAAGACTAATAATAGAAGTATTTTTATATGAAGATGCACAATTGCAGTAATCGTGTTTAGTTTATTCTATTTTCATATTATTCTTTGTTCATAACAACCTACTTTTATTATCCTGGTCCTGATAAACTCTTAAATTTACGTGCCTTTCTTAATAGATGTATGAATTAATTTAAAAATATATAAACTTTTAGTAAATTAAAAAATTTTTCATCGTTTTTGATTACTTATAGTTAACTAGACTTTTTCTCGCTAATATTATTGTGTAAAACAGAATGTAATTAAGTAAAATTTAAAGTAATAGTAATAATGTTTATACTTATCACTTTAAATGTGAAATATTTTAGTATTTCTGATATTATAAGTTTTAATGAAATTTTCAAATGAATTATAAAATAATTATTTACTGAAAATTCAATTTTGCTGAAATGGAAATTTTTATTTTTCTGAAAGATATTAACTTATGTATTTACTAGATGTCTAATAGCATTTTAAAATAAATTAATATGGATAAAAATGTCAGATTTTTTATCAGATTCATTCTTATAAAGTTTATTGCATAGCATGAGAATTGTGATAAGAAAATCTTTCCTTTAAAAACGTTCTGTTTTTAACAATTTGAAGTGAACTGATAAAAATTCAAGCTGTTTTTTTTAATTATTTTTAGACAAATCGCCAAGTTTAATTATCTGATAAATACCCTTTTAAATTTCCACGCACGAAGTTCATAAAAAAATATGATGTTTACTAAAAAAAATCACCTTTAATTATAGAATAAATATAATATTGGCATATATATAATTAAAGATTATTAATTTAGAAATTTGTAGTGGAATGCGATTAATGTTTGAAAAATTATACGTTTCAAATAATAAGTCTCAGATGTAAAAAAACAACTGTTAAACAGAGAATAAAATCTGAATATTCATTGTATTTTTGCAAACACTAAGTTAAATGGAGTTTTTTTATGTAACTACTTGAAAACAAGACGTATTTAATTGTTTTGGCCAAAACAGTTTTGGTCACAATTCACTGGACTTTTCAATGCTGAAAACAAATATAATTAGTACAAATCTGTTGATAAACAACTAAGTGTATGTTACGTAGTTTTCGATTCATAAAAAAACATGCATTACTCATAATATTCTACAGTTTAATTTACATTTATACAACTAACTAAAAATGACGTAATTTTCGTGTATAATTATAATAATAGTTATAATTGCAAAATAGTTACTTTCCCAGAAAAGACATGATAAAGTAATCCTGCATTTCTAAATTATACATACAATTGACAAAAAGGTTAACATTGAATACAGTATTGGATTAGCACGTATTACCTGAAAATCCACTTCAGAAGTAAACCTAATAGCGTTTTGAAAAAGGAAAACAAATAACAATGTATAACTCATAACAAGTCCGATTTGGCTTCCTGCATCATCTAAAGTTGCAATTATAAATTCAGAATTACATATATTATACACTATACACAGCTAAATAAATCTATTTACTCACCTGGATGAATTGATACACTGAAAATAATAACAGTAATAAGTAAATTTATGTAACAAACGATGTTACCATATACAGCCAGGCATCGATTTAATGAAATGTAAATGATCCATGTTGCAGTATGTTTATCTTGATATTCATTAAAAGTGGAAATAAATTTATTTTTAGCGTTAAATGCTCTAATTGTTGTTAGTCCATAAAGAGATACGCTGAGATGAGAGAATACCGGACTTCTTGCTGTTAAAAAAATGTAATTATTTGAGCAAAACTTTATTAAATATAACAACGGTTTTCATATTGTATTTAAGAAAGCAAATGAAAAATAATTCTCGTTTAAAAGAATATCGTATGTTCCAGAAGCTGCTAATTAAAATTGAATATAATATAACACAAACTAAACATCGTAATCTTTATAAGAAAAAAAAATGGAATTGAAAACAAAAGATGTATTCCTAAATTCTTTGATACCGAACACACAACAAAGTGCTAAGCACGCTTTTAAATTGCTTCTAACTATTTTGCAGAGAAAATGTGCAATAAATTATGTGTATGCTTTTTCTATGAACATGATGTACAGCAATTGCTAATTATAATTTGAGCTTTTATTATAAGCTCTATCAACAAGAAAGTACATTTACGATCAAAAGCATTTTAGCTGCTGGAGCGTTTTTGTTAGATTAGTCTGGATACAATTTGTCTTACACTTTATTTTGCACACTGTATTGACTAAAATCTTGATCCACGTAAAGAATATCTTTGTGGTCAAACATGTCAACAAAAAATCCATCCCAACATGCTCCAGAGTTGTTGTATAATAAAAATATCCACATGTAACAACTCAGAAAACTATCAAATGATTGTTCAATAACCGATTGTCTGCTTCTTCCTACAATAATGATATTCTTTTCAAAAACGTGGTCCTAAAAACAGCATTAACCAACTAATGTTGTGGAGTGACATCTTCTACAAGTATTGGGGTACTTTCTCTTTATACAAACGATTTGAAAATAATAATGTTGTAATTCGTACACTGAACAGCATTGAGTAAAATTTTAAAATTGTAGATGACTCGCGGTATATTTTCGATTTAGCAATATCTATTACAAACAAAAGTGAACAAATTTCTGGAAAATTTGTAGTAAGCAAATTCAAATATATGTAATGTTAGAAAAGTAAAAATTTTCTAGATTTTTCAAAAAATTCCGATTATTACACTTATGGTTAAAAGTCATTTTGCCGTAAGCAAATAATAACGAGTTAATGCTCTCTCGCTCACATCGCGAGAAAAATTTCGAAAAATTCCTTCTTAGTGTACATTTTTATAACTTATCCTAACTGTTTACCAAATTTCAACTTTCAACTCCTAATCGTTTGAACTCAGAGATTATTACTATTATGTTGGGTTTTGTGAGTTATACTCGGTTCACACCGGTGGCTGTGGACCAGAGTCAAGGCATAGCAACCAAAACAAAACTAAAATTAAATAAGTGTGTCAGTGTTTGTATCTAGGAATTTCCTAACAATGTGACATGTATTCAATATAGTGGCCTTCTGTAGTGTGATGTATGTATTTCTACTCAATTGTAATGTTCCCAGGCTTTTGTGTAGTGGGTATGGTATCACACCTGTACAGGAGAGAACAACAGGTACAATAAGAACCCTATCTATCCTCCACAGATACCTTACTTCCTGGGCGAGTTCTGTGTACTTGCTAATTTTTTCAGTGCATGTGTTTTGTACATTGTTTTTGTGTGGAGGCATAGTTTTATGTCATCCATGAACATGAGATGTGACAGTGAAAGCTGTGTTGTTTTTTCATGTCTGATATTATAGCCATAATGCATGTTGTTTAACATGTTGGATAATGGGTTCAGGGCTAGGCAGAACCAGATAGGACTCAAGGAATCTCTTTGAAAAATTCCTCGCCTAATGAATATCTCATTTGTTTGTATGAAAGTGTTACTAACCCTGAAATGTAGTGTTGTTCTCCAGTGCTGCATAGTGTTTTCGAAGAATGCAATGAGTGATAGATGTATTTTGTACATGTGTAGAATATGTAGCAGCCAACTGTGTGGAACACTGTCGAATGCTTTTCTGTAGTCTATATATGCCATGTGTATGTTTCTGTGTTGTTTGTGTGCTTGCCGTAAAAGGACTGAATCTATGAGTAACTGTTCTTTGCATCCTCTGTGATTTCTACGGCAACCTTTTTGTTGTTCTGTAAGAATGTCGTGTTCTTCAACGTGTTTGTATATTTTGTTTGTGATACATGATGTCAATAATTTGTAGAGTGTTGGAAGACATGTAATTGGTCTGTATTGTGTGGGGTCTGTAGTGTTGTTGTTTTTAGGTTTCATGTAGGTGATGCCCTGAGTAAGAAATTTTGGCATGTCTTGTGGGTTGACGATGATGTGTGTTAGATGTTTAGCTAGTTCCTGGTGCAGTGATGTAAACTTTTTGTACCAGAAATTGTGAATGTTTCTACACCAGGTGTCTTCCAGTTGTGTGTTCTGTTAACAGCGTAGCGAATGTCGTGTATGTTTATTTCAGCACAGGGCATAGTTGGTATGTTGTGCAAGTTTCTGTTCTCCTCCTCGATCCAGCCTGCATCAGCATTGTGTGTAACAGCATTGGACCAAAGAGAAGACCAATAAGTTGTGAGTTCTTCTTCTGTTGGTGTGCCACTGTGCTGTGTATCAGTGTTTGTTTTGGTACTGATTTGTCTGTAGAAAAGTTTTTCATTGTTTGTGAATAATTTATTTTGTTGTTTTCGTAGTGTACATGTTTTGTATCGTTTGAGTCTACGTGCTTTGGCTGCGAGTTTCTGTTTTAGTGTATCGATGTATTCTGTAATGTGTGTGTTGTGATGTTCGTGTTTTGTGTGTGTTTTGATTTTCTTGAAAATGTTTTTGAGTTGTTTCTTTAGGTGTTATGTTGTTTTTAGTGTATTGTGTCAGCCTGCCTAATTGCTGTCTAATGTCATTTATTTGTGTTTCTATTCTTCTCTGTCAGGCAGGCTTGTGATAGAATTGTGATTTGTGTGTGTCTGTCTATGATTGTATTTTCAGATCATGGTGTGTTACTACTGTGGCTGCCCCAGCATAAACTAATGTATGAATGTCTGAGAGTGTAGAAATTGAATGAATGTAGTTTGCTAGTAAGTGAGTGTTTACGTAATTTAATGTTTTCCCTACTACCTTTGACGTGTTGACTTTCGGTATTCGTGGTCTTGCTGTGGGACCTGTGCCTATAGATTTAGTGAGTGTTTCCTGAAATATAATAAGAGCGTATTAACTAATTCTATGTCTATGTTATCAGTGATGGATGATAAAGGGCCTGCAGTATCATTAGTTGTAGTTGTTACAGGTGAACTATTACCAATGCTTGTTGCTGGATTATCCTATCAGTTTACGTGATCTTCATTAATAATGTTAAATGTTTCTGTCTGTTGATGTATTTGATCTGTTGCTTGATAAGTTTAAGTGTTATTTCTGGAATAAGGTTGTTGTGTATAATTGTTCTTTTTTGATCAATAACCCTTTGTTCGGTGACAGTGAGGTGAAGATATTGTTGTGTGAATCTATGGCGTAGTTGTTGTTTGTATGCTGTCATGTTTGTTTCGAGTTTTGTGATTGCGTAACAAGTATGGATAATAAACTTGTTCATTTCTGTTGTCCATTTCATCCGTTGGCGTGGTTTTCCAGCCTTTGTGGTCTGTGGATGCATTGCCACAGAAACACCAAAGCTAGGTTGATTCCTCACATCTGTTGAGGGCTTTGCAGTAGCCATGCTTGGGCCGATGCTACTTTCGCCACCGGTAACCAAGGGAGACAGACTGTGGCCGATTTTTCGAACGTGAGTCTCTGCCTAAGCCACGAACGCGGACCTTGTTAACCTGGGCAACGTCCGAGCCGGTATCACATTTTGATCTGGTTGCTACCATGATAAATATCTTTACAGAATGTGGGTGTGTCACTGTTAGCTTCATTTCTCCCCATAGAACTTACTGGCATGGGTGTCCTACCAGGATCTTGTGCTCCAGCCTGCATTGCTGTATGGTTTAGTAAAATTACTGGGCTCTCCCACCGCGACCAAGTGGTGACCACGTGAGAGTTATTATTGAAATGCAATGAGGGGAATTTAAAACTCTTCCGTCATATGTTACTCATTTTGTTATTTTATGTGTTTGTTATAGGAAAAACTAAAGCCAATATGATTTGTAAAGTGTGTAGTAACAATTGAATGATTTGATAGATTGTCTTAGATAACGACGAATTTCTGCGTAATTGTTTTGTGTAATTAATGGTTTTACTGTTAAAATTAACTGCATTCGAATATATTCACAAAACGTTAAGCAATGAGTAGTGAAATAATTTTATGCTATTCAGTTAAATACAATAAACTATAAGATTTCTATACACTTACATTTTCCTTCAATAACTTTTATGCTGTTCAGCACACGGCTGTGAATCGACCACATAACGTAAAATAAGATTGAAATGACAAATATCAATATGAAAACATAAGGACAGAGGATTGCTTGAAGAACACACGTTCCAGCAAACAGAAAGAATGCCTGAAATATAAGAATATAAATTGCTTATAAATAGAAATTTATCTGTCATTTCAGTATAGTATAAATTATTTTAATTATTGTAATTTAATTTCTTAACGCGATGTTATAAAAAAAAAACATCATTTTAGATTGAATAAGATGACGTTCTCTCTACAAATACGGAGAGGAGATTTTGTAAACGAAGGGTCCTACAAAAACGGAGAGTCCTGTTAAAGGAAAACATTTAACTGTGAAAAAGAGACAGCTATATTAAACGTCAGCAGAAGAAACCTTGGAATGAATTTGCACCTTGGAATGAATTTTCGACATATCAATAGCCGATCACATGATCATTTTTCCAGGCATCAAGCATAAAAGGTGGAGACATCGAAGTTCCGGGCGGTCTTCCCATCCGAAGTCCGAAGGATGGTGAACAGATTAATTAGTGCCATGAGTAATCGATGACTAGATGCCAAGTTCGACGGATCTCCACAAACGGACTGTCCCGGCCCATGCAAGTCAACGAAAAGAAGACCCACTATACGATCACCAATCCTCTTTGAATTCCTGTCACACCGATCGAACGAACGTCATCTGATTTGACCAACGGATATTGAGGTATCTATAAATTCTTGTAAGCTCTCTCTCAGCTGAAATAGCGACAGAGCTAGGTCATTAGGTCAGCACACGAGCTGATTAGAAATTTTTGTCGATCCACTCCATTTAACCGCATCTAATCTTAGATTTAGTTATATGTATCATAGGTTTAGTTGTGTAATAAACTTTCTTTTGTTAATTGTTAAATTTGTCCACCTGTCTTATGCACCAAAAAGAACACCTATCAAGTTGCTCAACAACCCCACTACTCGATAAAAAGCCATCCAAACGACAAAGTGGGCGAGTTTTACAAACTCGACGTGTAAGTGGCGATTAGAATACTGAGTCTGCGAACTCGTGGTCTCACACATATGTAAATCAATATTAAATTAAACTACATAGTTAGTATCTATCCCTTTTAGCATTTGAATGGAAATCCATCGCAGCACGCGACAAGTTCATCATTATTCAAATATTACTGGTATAACATATCATGTATAACACAAAGATGTATAACATATCATGTATAACACAAAGATGTATAACATATCATTTAATAATTTTTTGAGTATGCTGCTTATTACTGGCATTAAAGATATACATGAAGTATTTTGTTATGTAATAATTATAATTGCTACTCTGCGAATTAATATTACTGTCATTGCCTATGTTTTAACGTTAAAAAACTACTTTTATATATTTACAGGTACTCTTCTCTTACACAGTTATAAGAATATTTCACTTTTGTAGTTTGCAGTGCTTGCTCTTCTATTATGCGAATCGCATATAGTTCCTCGAATCTGAAAAGAAAAACCTTCCGATTTTTCAAACTACTAATGTAATACTGTGCATACAATTGCATACTATTCCAGAAAGCTACTTTTAGTACAATTACTATATAAAATCATGTTTAAAATCATAAAGAAACACACAATTGAATAGTAGCGGTTGTAGCATACAGAATGTCTTGTCAATATCAAATTTAAATAAAAATATATTTTGATTGCATATACAGTTAATTTAACTGTTTCAAACTCAACTAACAGAGAATAAACATTGTCTGAGTTTATTAGTATTCCAGTTGACAATATTTTT